CGTGAACCTAAGAACACCCCCACCTCCTCCACCCCCCACCCCAACCAGCATGTCATATGGCAGCATCTACAGGAATGGGGTGCATAACCACATCTCCCCTGGGTCCCCAATTCTGAGACTGAGAGCCGATGGGGCCCAGGACAGCAGGTCACCACAGGCCATGCACGTCTGCTTCCTGGGAAACAAGAGACCAAGGATGAAGGACCAGAGGTCAGGCCACATTTGAATGCCGATCGGCACAAACATCTCTATACGGAGACGGCTGATACCCTTAGAAAAGTCCGAATGTGGGAATGCCTGAGAGATTGAGTAGGTCTCATCAGGTGGGACAGGGGCAGGTTCGGTGTGGGAGGGTGGGAAGTCCTCACGGGCAGGGGCCGCCCTGGGTAGAGCCTGAAATACCGTGACATCAGGGACAGGGGGGAGGGCAGGAGAGAGTTTCAGCGGCGCACAAAGCACAAATGTCAGGCCGTTGGGGCTCCGGGAGGCATGAGGCCCACCTTGGGGCCTCTTTGGGCTTCTCTGAACATGTCTGCAGTAAAAAGTTAAAAACTAAGCATTTAAATAGATAGCTTAGCAAGGGTGCATGGAACACCGTGCAGTGTCAGACACCAAGTGAGACACCGCGGGGGAGATCTACGTGAGGAAGGCGTGGTCTACCCTCAAGGGGTTTGAGTGCTGCTGGGGAAGGTGTGCAGCATCTGGAGTATTAGGGGTTTTGAATTACACCAAGAAGAGTCCCGGAGGTGTTAAGGGACCAGCAGACCCCCTCCCTGGCCAGGGTCCTTTCGTCCTTCATCCCAGAGACCTGGGATGGAGATGTATGCGGGCGGGGGACGACCATCTCTGCTCTCAGGGAAGAGCTGAGCTGCTGGCCTCCCCGAGAGTCCCTGGTGCACAAGGGGACACACTCCCAAGCGTCCTGCAGGAAGAGCCCCAACCTTGCCTCCCAGCCCCCCAGACACGGCTGGCACGAAGCTGCTTTACGTTGCCTATTCCGACCGGCCGGTCTCCTGGGAAGCTACTTTTGCAAACCGCACCTTAGTGACATTTAATCAATGACCAAAGCCCTGTCCTCACATTGACTACCACAGAGCACCGAAGGACGGAAGATGACTTCAGAGCCTTCCACTGCACACCAGGTCCCTCCTCAGCCCGCCACTTTCCAGCCGTTCATGTCAAGCCTCTGTTCTGAGCTGAAATTCAGAGGCCGTGGGAGGCTCTGCCCTTCTAAGGAGCCCCTACAGGGGTGAGGCCTTTGGGAATGGGGATGGAGATCTGCTTTATCAGCTCCCGCTCCCACTGAGCACCATCTATGCGCTGTTCACTGCAAGGAACACAGCCCGTCGTCCACAGGGCCACACGTGTGGCAGAGACTGAGTCATGGGACAAGCAGGGTTTGGAAGGCAAACAGTGCCCCAGAGGCAGAGTGTGAGCAAGGCAGGAGGGTGGCCTGTGTGGCAAGCCACGGAGGAGGAATGAGAAATCCAGGTGGGCTGGAGGGTGAAAGCCAACACCTACCGGTCCCCGGGCAGGGAGCCCTCCAGGGACGTCATCTGTTAACTGCTCACCTTCCTGTGCGGTCTGTGACGTCACCGCCACGTACCGCTCATGACACTGAAGCTCCGAGGGCTGGATCGCGCGTGCCCAAGTCGCCCGCGTGCTGAGAGCACAGGCCGAGTCCGAGCTGCGCGTGCACCTCCTGGACGGCACCTGGCCGCCACACCGTGACTTGGGAAACCAAAGATGCGCGAGTGGAATGAACAGGAAATAACACAGGAGGATTCCGTCAGGGCCTCGGTCCTGCTGGAGAATGACAGTCGTGTTAGGAGGCAGTGCGAACGGATCGTTCTGTGTCAGCCGTAGCCCTCCGGGGAAGCCCACCACCAGCCTCCCTCCTGCAGGTGGGTCTGGGGGGGGGTCCGGCCAGGGCACCTCCCAGACTCGCCCAGCTGGGCCAGCTCTCCCCTGCTGTGCTTCTTCCTTGAGTCAGTCATGCTGCTGGCAGAAGACATGCCGCACCTGTGGACTCAGAAGGTTCCTATCGAAGCAAGAGGCATCAGCGGGCTCATGGTGGCCAAGCGGCTGATGATTCTCTAGCTAAGAGACCCAGCCTGGGCAGTAGCTGCCACAACATCCTGCAAGAAGTGGGGGCCTGGATCGCGGCACAGTCCCATCCCCGAAGCTCGCGGCAGGTGCCACCCCAGATTGTGGATGTGATGCCCCATGGACGAGGCACACGTGGCTACCTGCCACGCCACTTCCTCCCTGGGCTCTCTCAGGCTGCATGCACCTCGAGGTGGCTTCCCCTGGTAACGCTGGGGACACTCATTCTAGTCGAAGGCACTCTCCGTGCCCTCTCTGACCCTGCGTGTGCTTTTCCCTACAGCGGGCGTCATCCTGATTGTGAGCCACAGCTCGGCACTGGACTCCTGCACACGCCCGCTCCTTGGGCTGCCGCCCCGGGACAGTGGAGACTTCGCCCAGTTAGTGAGAAAGGTATGTGCCTGCCCCTTTCTCTTTGGGCCATGAAGTCAAGCCCCCGGAGCCCACAGGCTCATCACACTTCCTTCTCAGAATGGAAACAGGTGTCCAGGCCACCCAGGACAGCAGGGACCACCCTGCCCACCCGTTCTCCTGAGGATGGGCACACCTGCTCTTCTGCACAGGGCAGCCCTGGGCGGGGACTGATGGGAGCAGTTTACCATCTTTATCATCACTATGACAACTTTGGCCATTTGCTGCCCACATTACTATCATTATATATTATTATTATTACAAAAACTAAGATACGGTAATGCCATGCAGCTCAGTAGTGGGGACAAATGGTCCAGCGGGGAGTAAGCCATGTGGACACCAAGAGAAAGAACGAAGGCTGGCCTGGCTTGTTCTGGGAGCCAAGGGGTGGGGGGCAGGAGGACAGAAAGGAATCCCACCCTCTTCCTTTGGAGTCAGCCTGCCATAGACCCCACAGGACACTCTGTAGCCCGAGTGCCTGGGGCTGGGCTGGGGCTCTGCAAACACTTGCAGGTAACCAACATGTAGAGAAGGACCGTGGGTACTGGGGCTGGGCTGGGGCTCTGCAAACACTTGCAGGTAACCAACATGTAGAGAAGGACCGTGGGTACCCTTGCACCCGCCTGTTGACCATCACCCGGCAATGCAGAGGCAGCTTTATCCATTGGTGAGATGAACCCAGGCAGGCAAACTGGGGGCTTAAACCCACCCCTGCTCTGGCCCAGAAGATCTACTCAGGGCCAGACTTGCCCCCCGTCCATGGCCTTTGCATCAAATGAATCAGTTGACCAATGACCTTGAGGCTAGGAGTGCAGTGTGTGGACAATACCTGTGATGGGAGATGGGTCCCTGAGCCGGTTCCTTGGTGCGAAATTGTCACAGGACCGTGAGCGGCCACAGCTTGGCCACAGAGGAGCAGACCCCAGGACCCCCCTGTCAGCACCAGCTCTGAGCCTGTGCAAAGTCCCTGGCTTTCAGAGCCCGCCCTGCCCGCCTGGGAAAGCCCGGTCAAGCCGGGTCCTCCCTTGCGGTGGGGTGGTCGGAGAGCTCTACCTGCATGCCCCTTCTCTCTTCTCATTCAGTTTCCTCTGGACCCGCATGAACGCATGCGTCCTCTCCAAAGTGTCTCCAAGGTGGGGTTTCCCAACAGTGACCCAGACATCCCCAAGCCCTCTGGGTCCTGGGCCCCTGGTGGACTGCTTGAGCCTGCACGCCATGCTGGATGACGAAGGAGTTTCCTGGGGCTTCTCCTGGTGGCCCCTGCACCCCCTTTCCCTAAGCATTGCTCTTGCAGATGTCACCATCTCCCTCCCCTGTCCTCCTGTGCTGCGCGCTCCCGATCCTACACCCTTCCCAGGCTGTCCTGGGGCTCCCGGCCCCCCACACAACAGCCGGTAGCTGACAGAGCCGCAGGTTTGGTGCTGTTCCAAAACCCCACTGTCTCCGCGGCCAGATTCCCACCCACTCCCCTGAGCCTCAGCCTCCCCTTCTCAAGACACTAGCCTTGAACTTCCAAATTCCCATGACCTTCTCATCCTGACACTTTGGTGTCCGCCCCACTCCCTCCCCAACGGCTGGACTTGCCTGCACGTATCAGACATTTACCAAGGGCCTCTGGGGACCACAGGCCTTCAGGTCAAGGACAGGTGGAAGCAGGCTGTTCACAACCCTCCTCTCACCCAGGGCACTGTGCTGCCCCACATGTACACTCACATGTGCACATATGTACACACTCACATATATGCCCGCGTGCACATATGTGCACTGAGTGCATGCGCCCGCGGACCCACATGCGCGCGCACACACGTGCACACGCCAGGTCTAACCAGGACAGAGTTGTCCTGTGTCAACACCAGCCTCCATGGGGATCCCCCCGCGTGTTGGCATTTCTGCAGACTTTCTCTCATGGAGGAATTTCTAAGCATCCAAAGGGAGGGGAAAGAGGAAAGCAAAACATGCAAACAAACCCAAAAAAAGCCTTAAAGCCAAAAATCTACACAAACGCTTTGCGGAAGAAGATGTTGAGGTCTAATTCACTTCACTGGGCTCTGAAAACTATGCCAGTATCTTCTCGTGACGCTGAATTTCAGAATGCCAGTCAGTCCCCAAGCAGTCGCTGGGGCTTCTCAGCCTGGACACTGCGAAGCTCCAGGGCAAGGTGCTTCCGTGGTGGGGGGGCCCCAGGCCCCTGTGCCCATAGGACATTAGTAGGGTCCCGGCCTCTGCCCCTGCCCACAGGACCCCCATCCTGACAGCCAATAACGTCCGCAGGCATTTTCCTCGTGCATGGGGGTGGGGGGCACGGTGCCCACCCAGGACGGCTGTGTGAGACGTGGGCGCTGTGTTTGGGGCAGTGACGCCAGTGTGGGCCCATCGCGCCCGCCTCCCCGGCCCAGCAGGACCTGTCGGTTGGGTTTAGAGCGAGCGTGAATGCCATTGACCTGGTGTAAAACATTCATAAGCAATCGGAAACCCCGTCCTAGGTTCCTTCCCTGGGCATGTGCTTCTGTGAGGAGAACCGAGAGGAAGGCAAGTGGGAACTGGTGAGCCCTCCCGTGAAGACGCTGACCCACGGCTCAAACTCGGCATTTAACTGGCGGAACTGGCTCCCAGGCAGCTAGGAGCCACGCTCCCGTGTCCTCCGTGCCCCCCATGGGAGGTGTAGATGCACGAGATGCACTTTTGGACCCCTGGATGTTGGCCATCTGCTGTCGCCTGTGCAGCGGCCACCGGTGGACCATTACCCCACCCATGCAGCCCTAGTAACATGTGAACCCACCGCGTGGCCCGGATGGAAGGAGCCATGGGGACCCACCATGGAGCACTGGAAGGATGCACCCACTTTGTTTCCTGTGTTCTGATGCGTCGGGTTCCCCGCCCTGTTCCTAGTTCCATCCCAGTCACTTTGTGGCTCTGTCCACACAGGCCGAATGGGGTCTAATATTCAATAAAATGGAACAGGAAACCACCCGCCAGCTTGAAGGCCGGAGCCGCGGCTCGGCGTCCCCTCCCCAGGTACGAGTTTCCCATATCACCACGGAGTGGCAGTTGGGGACGACACAAATTTTTGATCACACGTGCACAGATTAGTTCTGTTACAGCTCTGGGGGTCAGGATTTCTGAGACAGGTCAGCGGGCGGCATTCCTCCCAGAGGCTCTTGTGGAGGCCTCAGAGGTGGGGGGTGTCCCCTTGCCTTTTCCCGCAGCAGAGGCACCTGCTGTCCCTGCCTCCTGAGATCTACAGACAGCCTCGTCTTCAAGCCCCGCCCCCCACCCCACCCCTCCACTTCCACTGCCACTTGCCCTTCTGCCTCGGACCTGTCCCAGTTTTATAAGGTCCCTTGGGATTACAGAGGGCCAGCCCGATAGTCCAGGATGGTCTTCCCTCTCAGGATCCACAACTTACACCGTCTGCAGGGTCCCCTTTGCCCTGGAAGGAACAAGGTCACAAATCTGGGATTTGGATGTTGATGGTTTTGGGGACACTCTCCACCCTCCCTCCACACCCCACACATCCGGCTGCTTGTCCCGGGGCCCCAGTACGAGGATGTGAGATGCCCTCTCAATTGAGACCTTCCCCAGATTCCCCTTTTCTCTGTTTTTGTCAAGAGGAAGGGGAGGTGGCTTTGCAAACAGGGACCCTGTCCCGCCCTGACTCACAGGAGAGACCCACCACCACCACGGGGACCCCTGCCCGGAAGCTACCAATCCAGTGATGCCTCTGACTGTCTGGCCGGTGGCCCAGGTGGGTGATGGGCGTCCCTCCCATGGTGTCCTCTCCCCCATCCCCCATGGGTCACACCTGTCCCCACCACCAATGCATTCAGTGTCCCAAACGAAGTCCCACCGTGGCACCGTGACCCCGACTGGCCTTCCTCCTTTCCCACTGTGTTCCAGTTCCGGTGTTTGGGACCATTGTTGACCCATGCCTGGCCTTTCACAAAGCAAAGAGGGAGGCTGGCGGGATGTGCCAGCCCTGTCCCCGGCTCTCCCCTGCGGTCTCCCAGGCGAGGCTGGGGGGCATGCAGTCCGTGGAGCTCTTGAGGAATAGAGAGGGTGGCCCCGGGACCCGGACGGGGAAGCAGCCACGTCACAAAGAACACACAGGCCACACTAAAGGTTCTTCGCTTTACGGTCCTGCCGTATCTCCCGAGAAACACATCAAAATGTTTGTCCCTTGTTTTACTTCACTTGTGATGTTGTTTTCCTGTCTCCAACATGAAGATGTTTGCAGCTGGCCAAGGGCAGAGGGCAGCCCGCTCACGGGCTGCTGCCACCCCTAGCCTCCAGCACCAGGGTCTTGGGGGGAAACCCTGCACGCCTCCCAGCGGGCACCGACCAAAAAGCCAACGGGCCCCCGGGACGGGGAGGGCAGCACCTGCCGCAAAGTCCTTGCCTGCCTGGACAGCTGCCCACGGTCGGGAGGAAGTCTTCCCTGGTCCTCCCCCAAGATAGCCTGATGCCGCCCCGTGAGAATGACCAAAACCTTCACAAATCAAGCAAGCGGCCCCTTCTTTGGGGTGGTCCCACGGTGTCTGGGTTCAAGCCATGGGGGATGAGACTGCTGGGCCGCCCGGCCCTGGGTAACGAGAGGGAGGACCGTCCTCCTTGCCGGGCGGCGAGTGGGGGTTTGCAGGGACCACGAGATGGGCTTGGAGCTCAGACTCCAAGGTCAAAAGAGCAAGAAACCCCGCTTTCTTTCCTTTCTTTTCTTTTCTTTTTTTTTTTTTAAGATTTTTATTTATGTGAGAGAGAGACAGGCAGAGATGGTGACAGAACGTGCAGGGAGGAGAGGGAGAAGCGGGCTCCCCACTGAGCAGGGAAACTCCATTTTCTTTAAGTTCTGTCATTCTTGTTCTCCCCAGTCCCCCATCCTGATGCAATGGCAGGAAAGCCCGGTTCCGTCCCTTTGCGCTTCCAGAATGGCCTGGTGGTGAGGACGGGGCCCGAGAACAGAGCGGCTCGGGAGGAAGGGAGGGCGGACGTCATCTCCGCGCAGGTTTGCAGTTAGACCGGCGAGGGAGACGCAGGACGCAGATCCCGGCGCCCTCCGCGGGGCGGCCCCGTGCGTCCGTAGCCTACACTGACCCCTGCTGGCGGCCTCTGGGAATGGCCTCCGCTGCAGCAGGCCCCGCGGGGCCCACCCGGGGCATCCCCAGGGCATCCCGCGATGCGGCCGCGTTCCTGTGAACACACGAGCCTGTGGCGCCGGGAGGAGAGCCTCTCCCCGACCCACCACGAGCTTTCAAAAGATGAAAGGTGCTGAGGGGCCGGATGGCCTCAGGGCCAGGTGGCCAAGGACCGGGGAGCCTGAGTCTGCTCTGACCAGGGACCTAGAGCCTCCGAGGGTCACGTGCGTGGTGACAGGTCTGGGGCCACGGCCAACACCTTCTGTGTTATCCATAGTAATTCCCCACGGGAGCAAGTCTTTTAGAACCAAATTTGAGATATTTTTTTTTTGGACGTGGTCATGTTGGTGAATTTCATGGGCTAAATTGCGCGCCTCCCGCAAATCCTTAAGTTGAGGTCCAGACCCCCAGCACCTCAGAATGTAGCCTCATTTGGTGGTCAGGTCTCTAAGGAGGTTAAGTAAGATCACGTGAGGTCCCCAGGGTGGCCGTGATGCGATGTGACCTGTGTTCCTGTGAGATCAGGACACAGACACGCACACAGGGAAACCACGTGAGGACACAGAGGAGAAGAAACACTTCTGTCACCTTTGTCACCTTTGTCACGGCAGCCCTAGGACAACACGGTGCATAAAAATCTTGGGTGTAAACACCAAAACATACAAACCCCTGAACGGCTGAGCACCAGCCACATCGTGTAGCTCGGCACAAGGCGTGTGGCAAACGGCACCGTCAGCCGATCCCGTTACACACCCGCCGCCATGCACCTCCTCTCCTGACCTTCTTTTTTTCCTTTATTGTACTTATTTTTAAGTGTTAAACATCAAAGTCTGACTCCCTGTGGGCTGGTTAGATGGTGTGAGGGACAAAGGTAAGAACACGGGTCATCCAGCTGCCCCGCGCTCGCGGCCTGGGGGAAGAACACGGCTTCTACATTCCTGGGCTCCCCTCACCCTGCCCAGGTGTTCCGGGAGGCCCCAGGGGCTCACAGGGGCTCAGGAAGGAGTCTGTGTGACACGGCCCCAAGCTTCCCCGCAGAGCCCACAGCCCTTCTCAGCCCTCGAGTGAGGAGGCTTACTGGTGGCTTTGCCAACATGCCCATCGGAAGGAAGACCAGGTCCCCACCTGGGGTCACCACCCAGTGCTCCCAGAGCCTCCTCTGCAGACCCAAGAATCTTCTCCACCCTGAACCACCGTGTCGCCCGGTCTCAGGGGCTCAAAAAACCCCACAGACAGCCGTAGCCGGAACCTCCATCCTTCAGGCCCCCAGATCAGTCCAGGGAGCCACGGAGGCTAGAGGTGGGGGCACGGGCTCCACTCGTCCCCACGCAGAGCCCCCTCCCTCCGCTGGCACGCTGAAAGTGGGTGGCGAGTGCTCACAGATGCCCGGACCACAGGCCTGGAGCCCCAAGAAAATCAACCAAGGTTCTAGGACCACCAGAGGAGAATTCAGTAAGTGCCTGAGCTCAAAGGTAAAGGTCAGACGTCGACAGATCTCGTGTATGCCAACGTCATCGGGAGATGCGACGGAAAACATTATCAATGACAGCAGAACAGAAGATGCCCAGGGCGATGCTTAGAAGAAAGCCGAGAACCTGAGCGTACCAAAGCAGGCCCGGAAGAGCACGGTCTGGGTCGACAGGCACGCTGCGTCCTTGCACAGGAAGGCCCGGCACTGTGAGGCTGACCCCTCCCCACATTAACCGTGAAGTGCTCTGGAGCTCCCTGGGGACCCAGCACCTGGGATCACGGCTCACTGCACAGCTGTGCGCCCCGGGTTCAAACCCTCAGCACCGCTGACATCTGGGGATGGGAGCTCTTTGCTGAGGGAGGTGGAGGGGGCTGTGCTGCCCACTGTGGAGTGTTCAGCCACACGTCTGGGCTTGACCCGGGAAGACGCCAGTAGCACGCCCCTTTGACAGTCACACTCACCGAACACGTCTCCTGATCTTGCCAAATACGTCCTGGGGAGCAAAACTCTTCCCCATTGAGAAGCCCAGATGTGTTCCCTGAGCCCTGGTCCCAGGCGGTGTGTCACCGGCCTTGGGCACCCATGATAGCCCAGGTGTGCGGAGGACCCTGGCATAGTAGCCATTTCACGCCCTCGCGGAGTAGACGCACAATTACAGAGAAGAACATCAGGAAAACATGCGTCCGTCTTGAGTTGAGCAGCGTGGGGCACCCTGAAGGGTGGGGTCCTCTGACGTGAGGACCAAGGACATCCAGGCATGAACCGGGCTCCCCTCCCACCCAGATTCCAGACCTGGAAAGTGTGCCACGAATGTTAGAAGGCTCCAGGGTCCTTGGGTCCGGGGCCGGATCCCGGCACAGCAGGGCCAAAGAGTCCCTTCTCATACCCGCCCCCGACGTGCGCCCCCACAGACGATCCACACACACACGGATCCTTGGAATTGCCAGAAATGGTTTCCAATGATAAAGGAGACATTCATCGGACCGTTGTACGAAAGACTGCTCTGGGTGTCAGGAGACTTGGGGTTGTGCCCTGTTCTGTCTCCTGCCTGCTGTGACCTTGGGCGCGATCTTGGTGTGGCTTGGGCACAGGCTGCCAGTGGGCTGAGCCCGTCCCAGCCCCCAGCCTCTGTCCCCGAGGGAGGGCTGTCTTCCGAGCAGTGAGCAGCGGTGGGCTCAGCTGGAGCATTTGCGGGGTCTGCCGGTTTCCAGGGTGTAAATTCTCCCACCACGGCCGATTCTGAGCCACCTGTGTCTTCATCGCCGATTTATAAAATGCCTGAAAATGTAGAAATCAGCCGTCGTGAGCTGATGAG